GTGTAGGGACAGCGCTGCTCGGGATGTGCTTTCCAGGCTGCAGCGTTCCCTTTCCGTTTCTGCTGTCACCAGGGGCACCCTGGGCCTCCGTGGGCACAACACCGCTGCTGCTAATGACCACGGAATGGAAATGGCAGGGGGATTTGTTTTCAACACCTCTTTCTTCCAGTAGCTTTTTCACTTGTGGCACTAGAACTTAAAGGGCTGCTTCTTGGCGGAGCTCAATGAGCCAAGATAGGGGCTGTCTGCTGAGTCTTGCGTGGAGCCGGAGCAGAGTGAGGTTCTGTTCCCAGCTCTGCACTAACATTTTAATAGTAGATCAGGTGCTTGTTCTGGCAAAATGGTCCCAAGAATTTATAAGTGCAAGACCTAAAACAATTTGTCTTCCTTCTGTCACTGTTACAGTGCATGGGCTGGAGGATGGCAGTAAAAAAGTTAAAAATACTAAAACTCTCCAGGCAGACTGACTTAGCTGAATTGATTGGCCACGGGAAGTCCTACCAGAATAATTAATATTTATTATTAATAATAATCCTTCCTTACGTTTCCCTGTTTAAAAACAGGATGAGGTGAGAGAAACATGTGTCTGCGATCAGGATAGAGAAGGCTTTGTCCTGTGTTTTTCTCTGGTCAGATAGGTGTTGCTAGAGAATGCTCAAGTCATGTCTGATTCCAGCCTCCTCCCCAGTTTGTGCTGGCTCTGCAGCACTAGCGAGGCAAGGAAAGAGCATCCTAAACTTATGCGAAAGAGCCATACTGGAGGATATAAGTATTCACTAAACCAGAACTTCAGAAGTCTCTTGTGCACTGAAGTACAAACCAGAAAGTGCATGGCTTAACTCTGACTACTTCTGGTAACAGGGCTGGATGATGTTGAAGGGGGAGGAGGGATAGCATTGTGGGGTTCAGGAAGGGGAGAGAACACAGAAGACGTGTTGGGGATTGTTGTTTTATTTAAAAGTGGAACATAATTCATCTGGGCACAATGAAATTAGCAGTAATACTTCATGATGTTTGCTTCTGTGTTGACTGGAATTCAAGCGGTTTACCTTGTGGAGTAGGAGCTGACAGTATAGGTAAAATAACAGATTTAAGCAGACAAAATAGAAGGGAAACTATTAAAACGTCCCACTAGGAATGCTGAAGTACCTGAAGTGTGTGGAGAGGCAGGTGGCCTGTGGAGCTGTCAGTGTGGTGCACCCAACACAAGAGAGGGTTGTGGAGCTTCAGCAAATGAAACTTAGATGACTGATGAAAGTGATGTGCATTTACTTGACAGTCTCTGTTGCTCAAAGTGCCGGGTCTCAAAACCACTCTCGTCGTGGTCTCAAGTTGCTGTCTCTTATTGTAGGAATATCACATTTGCAAAAGCCTTTTCATGATGCCAGGAGGGAAGATTTGTTTTAGAAGGAGTTTTCCTACAAATCTGTCTCATTCAGTGAGGAAAAGCAATGCCCAGGGAATAATTTGAAGCCGCCTTAATCTTGGAGCATCGCAGAGTGTAGGGGATAGTGAATATTCCTAATTCTGGATTGTGGGAAAGTATATCATAACCCAGAGAGTCCCGAGTCCAGGGAAGCCAACAAGAAAGCCCTGAAAGAGGCCTTTTGGGTCTGTGTTGGTGTGTCCAGATGAAACTTTAGTGCATCCACACCACCAAGTGAGTTATAAATGGATGCGCTTTAGAAAATGATTGACAGAAACTTTCCCGTACCCCAGTCCTTCTCTTCCTGGCATTCCAGCAGCTTTCTCTGACTTGTTGGCTGCAGGGAGCTGTTGATCCCACAGTATTCAGGCATGAAGGCTTTCAGAGCATGCTGCAGCGCTCACAATGTCAGTAACGATTTCTGGTTAATGCAGCTTTTTGGTGGTGTCATCTCTCATTATCACATGGGCTTTCCTTGGGCTTTTCCTTGTCTCTCATTCAGAATTTTGACCTTCCTTCTTAATTAAACAGCGACTTTCCTGCAGCCAGTGATTGAGTTATTCAGTAATACCTGCCTAAAGCCATCATAATAAAGAACAGAAGTTCTTTTTAATGCAAATGATTTGGTTCCAGATGTTTTGATCACATTAAATGATGGCTCAAATTAACCAGAGATTGGATTAAGCAACAGGCTACCTTGGCTGCTTTTTCTAATCATGGTGATTCCTAACATGTTTGTTTCCCAGAGCGTGCCCTCAAGAAGGCAGTATAGTCCTCAGTTTTCCTCTACATGAAAATAGTGAAATAAAAATGACAGAGAGAGCCAGAAGCTATCTAGCATAGGTGCTGCGTTTTTCACAGCAAAGATCTTTTCTCTCCATAAATGTTACCTGCTAGTAAGATGCTGCTCTGACTTGTTCGTGATATTCTGGGAAGGAATTATTCAAGGTGTACAGGAGACTCTGTGGTCCTGGAAGTGACTGTTATGTACTTTGTCCAAGGCTTTTCGGGTGCTACATCATCCTTCTATGGTCTAAGCAAGTTCCTGCATAGAGAATAGATGTGATAGTGGATGGATCTCAGACTTAGAAGGCAAAATCCAGAACAGCATTCAGTGGCTTGATCACTTAACTTTGAAAACAATTTCAGGCTTCCAAGAAAAAGTATTTAACCATTTGAGTAACTTACCTGGGGATGTGCAGCAGGTATTCCCTCTCCTAGTTTTTAAATTGTGAGTAGCTGCCTTTCTGAAATCAGGCTGTACTCAGCCACAGGTTACAGGTTTAATCTGGAAAGTGCTAAGTAACAGTCTCTGTACTATTTATGGAGATCAGAATAGGGAGTTGCAATGGGATTTTCTGGTGTGAAATCTTAACGTTTCTGCCAAGGGTTTATTATTTGGAGCTGAGCAAATGGAGAGAAGAGTGGATCTACAAACTTGACATGTCTTCTTTTTTTTGTTTGTTTGTTTTGTTTTCTTTCCCTGGTTTCTCCATGCAGCTCGGATTGGAAAAATGAAACGGAGGAAGCAAGACGAAGGGCAGGTATGTCCCCTCTGCAGCCGACCTCTGTCAGGATCCGAGGAGGAGATGAGTAGGCATGTGGAACAATGCCTTGCAAAGGTAGAGGCGCAGCAGGATCGCCAGCTGCCATTCCCTTCTCCCTACTCCCGGCTTTGTCTGCAGTTGACCTAACATGGGGCAAAAACTAACATTGCTGAGCTTACAGGCAACGCTAACTATGTCTCCCTAAGATCTGTAGTCACTTCTTTCTGTCTTGGAAGATGGATTCTTCTGTTTTTTTCTCCTGTGTTGCATTAGTAACTTTTTACTTCGTGCACCCTTTCGCTGTTACTGAAGTCTAAGTTGTAGACTGTAAAGGTAGAGCTGTTGAAGTTTATGAAGCCTTTTGTAGGACTTCATGCTTCCGGTGTAGCACAGCAAGAATAGTTCTTTCTGATCTCTGCCTTTGACAAGATGTGAATTATTTTTTGTTGGGTTCTTTTGTAACAGACTGGCATTTGTAAATGTTGCATGACCATCTTACTCCAGGAAGCGCATTTGAGCAGAACTGTTCTCTTGCTGTTCATCCCAAAGACAGCAAGGAAGGAGGAACAAGCCCTAGGGGAGGGTGAGAGAGAGTTGTGTCCTAGAGCTTTCTGTGCTTGTTTCTCAGGAAAAGCCCGCAAAAGAGATAACAGATTCACTCTTGTTGCCTTGAGAGGTGCATGGTGTAAAGAGAGGTATCTTTTGATCAGTGTGTCCCAAAAAATATGCTCTAGAGAACATTCTTGCTGCAGGTCAAAGGAATCTGTGTTTTACATGATTAGGGGAATTGTGCATGCAAGGTAGGGGAATGCATGTTGAAATGCACACCAGCATTGTTGTAGGAACCAGAGCTTAAATTTCCATGTGTAAAAATGATGAACCTTGCAGCTTGTTTTGATCTTAAGGTTGTCAAGTTCTTCCAGCACGCATTCACTTATAGATTGAGATCACTGGGAATGGGGGTGGGAGTAGATGCTGCTGTCTGCTCTGTATTTAGCTGTCCTGGGAACAGTCAAGCTTTTCTTCTCCATCCCACCCTGAGTTATGAACCCCAAAGAGCTATTTCATGCATCTCAACGCTCTGCCCCTGCTTTACCCTGTGCAGAGAGAAGGTTCATGCATGACTGAGGATGACTCTGTGGACATCGAGAACGAGAACGGCAACCGCTTTGAAGAGTACGAATGGTGCGGGCAGAAGAGGATACGGGCTACTACTCTCCTGGAGGGAGGATTTCGAGGTGCGCCAGTTTTTTGGGGGCCCTTGTAAATCATTCTGCTGTGGAAGCTGATCATTGTCTGTCTTTAAAGGGAGGGACCTAGAGATTTGCCTTTCACAAAGGGCAGGACCTTGAGCCTTTGCCAGAATGTAAAGTGATTTTAGCTTTCTGCCTCTCTTGAATGACGAGAGTCAAAATTTGTGCAAATCTTGAACAAAAGTGTGGCGTTATTTCTTGCTCGAGAAATGTGGCTGAAGAGGGAATGAGTAGGAATGGGTAGAATGAGGAGATCATTTGGGGAAAATAGCTTTTTATATGTTACACATAGTAAGAAATACATGGAAATATGTGAAGAGAGGGAAATAGAAATGAAATTGTAAAAATTCCCAGCCTGGAGTGACGAAAGCTGGTGTATCAGCCTCTGGTGATGTATTGAAGGTGACAGCTAAGTCGCTTTAGCACCTGCATAAAATATTAAAGGGCCGGTTGTGCATTTATCACTCCATCCCTTTTAAGGTTGATAAATGAGAATCCAGGAACCTGCTCTGCACCTCCAGCACGGCAAGCCCTTAGGGCTCCCAGACAAACACATTTTATTTTTCCTCCTTCTTTTGCTCCTTCCCCGGTGACGGGGAAATCAGTTACTGAGGAGAGAGTGAGTTATGGCAAAATTTGACCTCTTGTGAGCTTTATTGGTGAATGTAATTTTAGCTAGAAACCTGGCCCCTTTCTTACACTCAGCCCTTTGGCCTCAAAGAGGAGGATTTACTAAACTGTTCGTTGGCATGAACCTCTGGCACTAAGAAGAGTCTCTTGCAAGCAATCCACATAGCGCATGCCTAATGAGAGGAGGAATGCTGGCTCCCTCCATTCAATAAAGAAGATGGGGATGTGATCTTTTCCTATATCAGCTTGGATTTTAATTTAAAATATCTCAAGGGGAAAGGCTACTACGTAAGGGAGTTGGACTTAAAAGCCGTGTGCTCACTGACACCCTGGCACTCCTGATCTGCACTTACCCTCCTCTGAAATTAAATGGTAGCTGGGTTGTAGCAGAGCAGATGATCGGGAGCACAGAGGTGAAGGAGCAGCTTCTTTGGGTTTTAAAGGCTACCCAGGAAAGCTGACACTGTTGCTTCCTCTGTCTGTAGCCTTACCTACCTTAACTTTTTTTGTGCCCACATGGAGGGTTGAGTCTGTACATGATTCCAGGTAGAGGTCTGATGAGACTATGCAGGGCCTTAGGCTATGTTTATGTAGTATAGTTACTGCAATCCATAGCGGGGACGCATGGTATGTCTATGGGCCTCTATTGTTGTCACTGATAGTCCTGATCAGAAAAACCTACTCAGTTCATTTCTGCCTTTTTTTTGTGCATACATAGTTTCTTCCTTCACCCCCACTGAACACCTGAGTTTGAGGAGAGCACAATCTTCTGCTTCCTTTGGTGTGGACATTGTGCTGTCCTCACCTGGTTAACATTCCCCGTTGGTTTTGAGTTAACTCACAGAAGTGTGGTCTGAACCTTTCATACTGCTTTAGTCATGTGGGAGACCCTCTTTCAAATGAGGCTTCAGGTGGACAAAATGTGTGTAACTGATGTGATTAGGCCATGTAAATGCAAAGTACTTGCTCCTTGTTGCATTTTCTTCCTTATTTTAAGGAATTCTCAAATGCATTACTTTGCGTTATATAGAGCAACTGCTTTCCTCCGCCAGAGGCTAGACAGATTCTAGCAACAGTCAGGGCTGTAACCTCTGCAAGACGGCTGCACACGCATGGACAGGTACTTTTGTATTTCATACTTAGAAATAGCCTTGCTTCCATCAGGAAGTATGAGGTCTGTCTTGTCTTTCCTTTTTGAGACCTTCATGACACCTTCAAGAGTGTTTAGCTGCATGAACAGATCCAGTAAAGGATCAGAAGACTAGGAGGAGAGTAGAGCACAATTAGATGCGGTTCTGAAACCCTCCATAATTACCCTGATGGGAAGGCTTTTGGATTAGAC